TCACCAGAATCAAAACAATACTACCCCACACACATTCAACACAAAACTGTTTGCTTAGGACCACTCTCAGAAAAAAAATTGTTTTGCCTTAATTGGTACGAAGGTGAATGGGAAGAACAGCTATTTTAAAAATCTCTCTCCCTAGGCCTGGGGATGTAGTTCAGTGGTAAGGTGCTTGCCTAGTATGTAAGAACCCCTGCATTTGACTCTACTACCACAAAACAACGCTCCCCAAACATCCCTCTCTGGCATTTAAATATACATTCTAAGATACAAGAAAAGTCTAAAATATTAAGAAATTTGAGCCGGGCTGGGGTTGCGCATGCCTTAATCCTAGCACTTGGGAGGCAGAGGCAGGTGGATCTTAGTGGGTTCAAGGCCAGCCTGGTCTACAAGAGCTAGTTCCAGGACAGCAAGGATTGTTACACAGAGAAACCCTGTCTTGAAAAAACAGATATGGCAGATATGATGGTGTGCACCTGTAGTTCAGCCTCGAAAGACTGCAGCATTTCCAACGCTGTGTCCCCAGAAGTCCCAGGGCATTCGAATACTCAGTCACCAGTTGGTGGCTGTTTGGGAAGGATTAGGAGGTATGGCCTTACTGGAGTAACTATGCCCCTGGGGGTGGGTTTTGAGGTTTCCAAGCCGCACATCATTTGAGTTAGCTTCCTCTGCATCCCGTTTGGGGTTTGAGATGTCCGTCCTCAGCTGCTGCTCCAGCTGCCTACAACTCTGCTTTGCCATCGCGGGCTCTAACCCTTTGGAACCATTAGTTCCAAATAAACTCTTTCTTCTGAAAGTTGCCTTGGTCATGATGTTTTTACCAAAGCAACAGAAAAATCACGAATACAGAAGGCTGAGGAGGAAGAATCACAAGAGCAAGGCTAGTCTACATGGTGAAATTCTGTCTCACAGTCAAAAAAGCAAAGAGACTGGGGGTGGGGAGGGTGAGGCTGGTGGAGAGACGTTAGAGCAATTAAGAGCAGGTACTGAGCTTGCGCAGGATCTGTATTCATTCCCAGCATTCACGTCAGACAACTCACAGTCACCTGCCATTCCAGCTCCACAGGATCCTAGGTCTTCTTCTGGAATCAATGGGCACCCGTGTATACACGCACACACACACAAGCACACACACTCACACTTAAAAGTAACAACTTCAAAAGAAACTGGAGAGCTGGCCAGCTCTTAAGAGCACTTGTTACTCCTACAGAGAGGATCCAAGTTCAATTCCCAGAATCTACATGGTGGCTCACAACTATCTTACTCCTATACCAGGAAATCTGAAGCCTTCTGACCTCCATAAGCACCTGGCATGTAGTTAGTATACATGCATATACACAAGCAAAACACTCATACACATACAATAAAATAAATCTTAAAAAATATATAATAAAAGGGGGATGGAAGGATGACTCAGCAGTTAAAAGGGTTAAGAGCACTGACTGCTCTTCCAGAGGATCCAGTTTGATTCCCAGCACCCACGTAGCAGCTCACAACCATCTGTAAGTCTAGTCTCAGGGGCTCCAGTCTTCTTCTGGCGTCCCTGACTACCTCAGGTCTAGAGTAACAGTTTGGGTTTTGGTGAGGGTGAAATGTCAGCTGGGGTACACGGACACACCACATATAAAAATTTAAAATAAATAAATGAAGAGAGAGAAAAGAAACCTGGCGGTAGAGCAGAAGCCCGCACCTCCTCGATGCTAATGGAAGCTACAGTGAAGTGAGACCTGCCGCGAAGCCTGCAGAGCTCATTAGCGAGACTGTGTCCACCCTGTGCAGACCTCAGAGGGGAAGGGTCACTAGAAACCTGTGCGGGACTTCCCAGCTCACTCTTTGTGAAACTTCTCCTTGTGCAAACAATCCCCCATTCACCAGACCTCTCTGGGGAGAGTTCAGATCTGGTGGATCCTACCCACCCCTTTAGAAGCAGACTCAGAATCAAGGCCTAAGGGCAGAGGGATCTGGGATGTATCAATCAGGAGAGAAACCCCAAATGCTGCTCCCAAGGCTTCTACCCATTTGCCATAGAATGGCATTTCAGGATGCTGGTGATTCTGGCACACTAGGGTCTTCCTGGCTCCCCTTCTCTACATCAGGGTCTCTGCCAAGCCACCGACAGATAGAGACTAATGTACCACCTTCCTGTTTGTGGCCGGGTAACCGGTTGCCCTATCTTCTACATTCAGAAGTACGTCACTTCCTATGACATCACTGTCTTGTCCCTATAGGTGTCCCCTGTCTCTGGTGTCACTGTACAATGACTGTTCACACCCCAACTGACATTTTTCACCCTCACCAAAACCCAAGCTGTTTTTCTAGACCTGTGGTAGACAGAACAGGAAGACAGTCTTGTGGAGTTTATCATTTCATCTTTTGTAACACTGATAAGGATCCCCCCCTTGGTCTTATCTATGTTTGTCATTTTGTTTACTGATGAAGACTTTACCCCCCCCCCCAACACTCCCTAGTCTTTACATGAAGTTCTCCGGATGAACTCCCAGTTGAGTTCAATTCCAGGAAAAAATCTGTTCTGAAAGTTCATTTGTATGCTTTCTGTTGTCCCCGATCCAAAACTATGCAATCTAGTGCATTTTTGTTTGTTCCTAAGCTGCCAGAAAACTGTAAGCCAAGTTCATTGTCCAAGTGCTGCAATCTGCTCCATTCAGGCCATTCAAAATGTCCCTTTTCTTTTGCTTCCTCCTGCTGAGCATCTCTGGGTTCGGGTTTAGTTTAAGTAAGTGCCTACAACCAGCACCCTTACCTACCTCTTGACTTCTAGACTCCACCCACCCCTCCTGCCTCACCACTGCCTGTCCACCAGGCTGCAGAGCCCAGGTTTCCCTGGCATCAAGGGTAGAGTGAGCTTTCTAAGACACAAAACGGGGTCCATCACTCTTATTTTGGGGAACTCTTCATTCTACATTTCACCTTGCCTGCTTTGGTGAGACAGACAGACGAGCAGTGTGTGTGTGTGTGTGTGTGTGTGTGTGTGTGTGTGTGTGTGAAGGCTCTAACTCCATGCTGCAGCCACACTGGGTTCTCCCCCATGCCTGCCTCTTTCCTCTTTTCCTATGTTGTTCTCTCTTCACCAGACAATCTTCCCTGGGCTTTCTTGGTGAAGGCTCACAAGCATCCCCTCTGGACCTGGGGCCCTCTGGATTCTCCTGGTTCTGTGACACGCAGCAGGAATAGCCAGGCCAAACTAGAATGGTATTTTCTGGAAGGATGGAAGAGGCTGTCTCGATCACTGTGTCCCCACTGACTACCACACGGAGCATTTTATGAGTGAAGTTATGTCCAGACAGGGTGCAAATCTTCCAGAATGAGCGTCCAGTCGTAAGACTCTCTGCCAGTGTCTGCGTTACCCTACCTACAAAGAGTCTCTGAGGAAAGGCAAGATGGCTCGGCAGGTAAAGGTGTTTGCTGCAGATCCTGAGGACACACGAGGTGAAAGGGCAGGACGAACGCCTACAAACCATCTTCTGATCTACATGGATGCCTGATGGCACATACACAATAGGCAAAAATATAATAAAAACGGTTTCAATTAAAAAAAAAGTCTCAGAGCTGGAGATATAACTTAGCAGGTAGAGTGCTCACTCCCAGGCAGGAAACCCTAGGTTTGATCCCCAGTGTCTCATAAAAGTGTGTGCCATACTCCTGTAATTCCGGGGCTTGGGAGACGGCTAGTCAGTTAAGAGCCCTGGCTGTTCTTCCAAAGGACCTGGGGTTGGATTCCTAGCACTCGGGCAGGGAGGCTCACAACTGTCTGTTACTCCAGGACCGGGGAACCCGCAGCACAGCCTCCTTGGACACTGTACACACATGGTGCACAGACATATATTCAGGCAAACACTCATAAAATAAATCAGATCTCAAAAAAATTTAAATTTAAAATCACATTCAAGGTCTGTCTAAGCTACCCGAGACCCTGACCCTGTTTCAAGAAACAAAACAACAATAACAAGTCCCTGAACTGAGCCTGGCTGCTCCTGCCAGTAATCCTGCCCTTACAGAGCTACAGCAAGAGGAAGGATTATAAATTTGAGGCCAGCCTGGGTCACATTCTGAGACCCTGTCTCAAATAAACTACACTCTGTTTCAGTTTGCCCTCAGCTTCCTCTCAGAAGCTCCACTTCCTCCTCTGTGGGCCATTCCCTAGACAAGTCTATTCCACTCTTCAGGTGTTTGCTACGGAAGGAGAAAGGCTCCAGTCACCCACCACAGCAGGTGCAAGCGTTACATGACAAATCACTGTAAAGTGCCTATTAGAACACCATTACCACACCCCACAATTACCTGTCATTTGGAGAGTTGAAGTCACAACCCCCAAAGCCATCAGAGCACTGGGTCAGAAGTCAGCCTGCTTCTTCCTCAGCAGGCTGGTTAAATCAGGGATCCCGCACTTTCCTAGTTACAATCCAGCGCCAAGGAGGGCAACCCCCACCCTCCAGCTTCCTGTCCCAGCTCATCACTACGGATTCCAGGCGCTGGGCTTCCTCTGTCTCAGTGGTCGGACTCCTCCGTATCTCGCTGCCCCTCTTACACAAGATTATATCCTGTGTTGTTAAGAGACTTACTTACCCTGGGCTCCATCGGCTCCCAACTCCATCCTTGACGGGAGAGTGGGAAGTAAACCCCAAGGATCCCACTTTCCAACACTGCAAATCCTGACTCCAGCCGTCTGGACTCCCCCACCCCGGCGCACAGACGCCCTCTCACACACGCGCACTCACTCTCAGGCGTCCCGGAGCTCCGGCACAGCGCAGGGCCGGGCTCTGCCCAGTGGCTGCAACTTTCTTCGGCCTCGAAGTCAGCCCGACCTGGGGAGGCGATCTGGATCGCTCTCCGCGCGCGTCCCTAAGGTCGGGCTGAAAAGTCCCCAGCGCCGCCTACGGGGAGCCCCGGCTCGCCCCAGCACACTTTCCTCGCCGCCCCCGATCGTACTCTCCCCGCTTTCCCCCGAGCTCGCTCCGCACTCCAGCGCCCGGTCCTACCTCCCCGCAGGCGACGGCTCCGCGGGTTCCGGGGCGCATATCGCGGACGCCCGTGGCGGCGGCGGCGGCGGCGGGGGCCTGGGGCGCCATGGCCCGCTGCCCTCCGCGCCTTTGTCCGCGCGGCCTCCCCCCTGCCGCCGCGAGCCCCTGGGGTCCCCGCCGCGCGCGCTCCCGTCCGGTCCCCGCCGCCTCCGGCCTCGGAGACGCGCTGCGTCCCCTCCCTCCGCCCGCGCGCGCGGCCCCTTCCTCTGCCTCGGGCTGCGCCGCGATCCTCTGCCGCGACGCGCGCCCCCTCCTCCCGACCCATCCCGCGGCTCCAGTGAGCTAATCCGCAGCTGGCGGGCGCCCGGCCGGTTGCCACAGCAACCACTCTCCCAGGGCCCGCCGCCGAGGGGGAGCCACGGTAAACAGGACCTTCTGCCGCACTCGCCCCCTAGCCTTTCGTGGGTGGGGGGAGATGGTGGCTTAACCTTTTCTGTGCTGAAGACCGCCTCATGGGTTCTCTTCTACCCCGGCCGGGTAGACTTCCATTCTCAAAATGCCCTTACACCAGACAACACCGAAGCCACGCTCCCTGCCCTAGCTTTGTTTCTGGTCAGTTAGCAGGGAGCTAAACTGCTGGATGCCTCTGGCAAAACTGGGCTCCACATTTGCCCCCAAGCAACTGACAATCATGAGACAGGCCTTCGAGACCCACCGGCCCACGTTCGCCCACAAGCAACTCACAGTCATGAGACAGACTATTAGGACCCACACGGATCCATACTTACCCCCAAGCAACTCAGTTGCTGCTGGAGAGGGCCATAAGGATCCACGGGTCCACCTCCCTTCAGAAGGGTACAGAAAGGGATCAAAGGCCACCAGAAGGCAGGCTGGTCAGGAAAAGCTATCAGAGAAGTGACTTTTTACTGCCCACTGGTCCTTCTTACCCAGGGCAAGATCAAAGCACACATGCAGGAGGTTTTAGGATGGTAGGATCGCTAAATAGAAGCCCACTTGAAAATGTCGTGGGCTTCAAGGGAGTCAGGAACACAGGCTGGGGCATTCAATGAAGTCATCTGGGGCTTTGATGGCCTGGAAAGCGGAATCAATTGTAAAAAGTGGAGAAACAAAGGAAAAGGCAGTCTGGGAAGAGGGAAGCTCCATCATGGTATCTGGAGAGCCTTTAAGTAAGAGGGGATAAGGTAAGATGGGGGTAGGCTGAAGAGCTTCAAGAGGTCTGGGCAAAATCAGAATATTATGCTGAAGGCAATGGGATCCAAGTAGAGGAATGCCAAACGATAATTTCTCAGCCTGACAGTGACAGTTTGTCTGTCCTGGGGGCTAGGTGCCAGCCAGTCTCCACATTGGAAAATGTCATTCTTGTTTATAGCTTAGAGACCTCCAAAAGAGTTGACCTATGTTTCTGGAGATGACCTAGTGGCTTCATGCTTGGCTTGTGTGTGGGGAGGGGTATTGGCACAGATCCGGGCTTCTTACAGCTTCACTAAGTGGGTACTTAGAAGAAAAAGAGTGCTGCATCTAGAGAGGAAGGCCCCTTGCCTGGCATGCCTGTAATCCCAACTTCCCAGGAGACTGAGGTCCTTGTGCAAGGGTGGGGGCAGACTTCAGATACCAGGCAACTGGGATTTACTTAGAGTCGCAGGGAAAGAAGCTGCATCTCCTTCATGGCTGAGGGGTTTGCTCATTGCGTAAGATCTTTGAGGCCTTTGTAGTTCTTCATGCCACACCCATTTCAGACTTTCAGAATAGACCTTTGCCAAGCGCAAGCATTTGTTTTGTTTTTTTTTAAAAGTGTTAGTATTCAAATTATTGCTTTGTTTGCATCCTTCTAAGCCCTCGCTCTCTAAATAAAGATCAAAGGCTTGGCTGCTTGAGGGTTAATTACTCCCAGGACCACAGGGTATCCTGATCCCACTGCAGCAAACTGGCAAAGTTCAGTGGGAACTGAGCCAGGAGCCCAGCTGGCTGCCTCCCCCAGCCCAAAGCACAAAAGAGCCTAGGAGCTTTTGAGTGTGTGGCTTCAAGATAACTAGTTACATCTTAGGTGGACATCAGGAAGCTTGGGCTGAGGAGTCAGTCCTTTGGCAACCCCTAGGCCACCATTTTATCATGGAATTCTGGGCACTAACTTGTCTTAGGAAAATACCTTGCTTCTGCCCCGCTGGGTCAGATTTTGAGGAATGCCTTCCCACCCCAGCCTCACCACTTCTGCTGCTCCCCTTGCTGGGTCACCCTGTGGCTCTGTCACCATGACTCAGGTTTGCTCATCCTCCTCTCCCCATTTTCTTTTTTTTTTTTTAATTATTTATTTAATTTTGTGCACATTGGTGTGACAGTGTTAGATTCCCCATAATTGTGAGCTGCCATGTGGGTTCTGGGAGTATTTGAACCCCGGTCCTCTGGATAGGCAGCCAGTGCTCTTAACCGCTGAGCCATTTCTCCAGCCCCCTCTCCACACTTTCTTTGCTGGTGTCCAGTTTTCCCAGATGAGGGTACCTTTGGTCCCATCTAAACCCTGCTGAGTTTCTAGCCCAAGTAGCTTAAAGTTGCCCCCCCCTACCCAACACACACACACACACACACACACACACACACACACACACTGGATACCCAGTGCCAGGCCGCTCCAAAGCACACATCCCTTATTCTCCCTGTCTGTCCTCAGCTTCTCTCCTGGTTGCAGAATGAGACCCGAGGTAGGCATAAAGTCAGCTTTCTGTATCTGAAGGAGTATGGCTTCAGCAACTCCTTGGATACCAAAATGTTTGGGTTTTCAAGTTCATTATAAAACCGGTTTCAAACCTGCATATCTACTGTGTGAATTCTTCCATACTCCTTAACTCTAGATTATTATTACTTCTATATAATCCAATGTACTATGTAATTATAAATAATCTATATGCATATATATTGAACTTCTTTCTTTCTCTCTTTCTCTCTTTCTTTCTTTTGCTTTTTGACACAGGATTTCTCTGTGTGTAGCCCTTACTATTCTGGAACTCGCTATGCAGACCAGGCTGACCTCAAACTCACAAGAGATCAGCCTGCCTCTGCCTCCCATGTGCTGGGATTAAAGATGTACGCCACTACCTCCTGGCTATATTGAACTATTTTCGATAGCTGTTAGACTCTATTGTTGTGGCTTTCTTTCCTTCTAAAAATGTTCTGTGTATGTGTGTTTTGCCTGTGTGTGTCTGTGCACCACGCGTGAGCCTGGTGGCAGCAGATGTGAGAAGAGGGCTTCAGGTCAGGATGCTGGAGCTGGAGTTACAGACGGTTGGGCTGCAAGCCACTGTGTATGTGCTGGGAACTGACGGGAATCCTCTGTGGAGCAGCAAGTGCTCTCAACTGCCGTCTCTCCAGCCCTTGGTTTTTGTTGTTGTTGTTGTTTGTTTTTCATTGTTTTGTTTTAATACTGTAACTGGTATTCTAGTCTGGCCTCTAATTTTCTAAGTAGCCAAGCATTTTTAACTCCTGACTCCCTTGCCCAGTGCTGGGATTACAGGTGCTTACCGGCATACCTGACTTTAGATTCTAAAGGGGATGACAACAAGAAAAAAGATTATACATGCCTTGCATGTTGATGTGGGATTTCCCCTCTGTATGCAGTGAATATGTTTTATTACCATTGGTTAATAAAGAAGATGCTTTGGCCTATGGCAGGGCAAAATATAGCCAGGCAGGAAATCTGAACAGAGATATAGAGAGAAAGAAGGCAGAGTCTGAGAGATGCCATGTAACTACCAAAGGAGACAGACACCGGTAGGCCACAGCCTCGTGGTGATACATAGATTAATAGAAATGTGTTGATTTAAGATGTAAGAGCTATCTGTGCAATCTCCGCTTACAGCAAGGTGCTGCCCATCTCTAATCCCAGCACTTGGGAGACTGAGGTAGGAGGATCATGAGTTCAATGTCAGCCTAAAATACATAAATCTCCCAGGAACCCCCAGCACACACAGGTGTATATTTTCAGTTGTGTGTATATCTCAGAATATTTTCCACCAGCAATTGTCTGAACCTTAGACTTTAGAATCCACAGATGTGGAGGCACAAATTTGGAGAGCTGGCTATCATCTGGCTCAAACTGGAAAAGGTGAGGATGAGACAAGGGGACAGCGCTGACCTCTTGTGAGCCTTTAATTCTGCTTTCTCCATATGGTACAGTCTTGGATCACTACAGAACATTTCACTTCCTTTCCCTCCTCTTCCTTCAGGGTTCTGTTGAAGAACATAGGCTTGGGAGTAGATAGCCAGATCCAGTTCCAGAACAGGTTACTCGTCCTTGAGTCCTGTATCTTCATGGGTAAGGTGGAAATAGAACCAGTTGTAACCACCTCACTGTGTTGGTAAGGAGGAAGTCAGGTAATAGAGAAAAGGATTGCTATTGTGCCTGGCCCAATGTGAGAGGAGAACTCTCTTGAGTCTCCTGTTATTCTCTCTCTCTCTCTCTCTCTCTCTCTCTCTCTCTCTCTCTCTCTCTCTCTCCCCCTGCACGCATGAGAGAGATCAGGAGGAAGGTGTGGTGTGTGTGGGTACTCCAAAGGCTAGAGGAAGGTGTCCTCCTCCATCACTCTCCACATTTTCCCTTTGAGGCAGGGTCTCTCCTTGAACCCAGAGCTTGCTTTTTGTTTTTGTTTTTGGCTTGGGTAGCAGCCAACAAGCCCCCATGATCCTCATGTCTCTGCTTTCCCCAACCAGGGCTGGGTGTGAAAGCGCATAGGCTGCAGAGATGGTTCAGTGGTTGAGAACACTGGCTGCTCTTCCAGAGGTCCTGAGTTCAATTCCCAGCTACCACACAGTAGCTCACAACCATCTCTAGTGGGATCTGATACCCTATTCTGGCATAAAGGGTGTATAAGCAGATAGAGCACTTACATGCATACATAAAATAAACAAATACATCTTGGAAGGAAGGAAGGAAGGAAGGAAGGAAGGAAGGAAGGAAGGAAGGAAGGAAGGAAGGACATACCCACCCTTCTCCTGGGTTCCAGTATCCAAACTCAGATCCTCAAGGTGCTTATCAAGTCCTCTTAACAACTGAGCCAAGTCTCCAGCTCCCCCCTCCCCCACTTTGTTTTCTCTGCTTTCTCCTCTCCTCATGAATACAGGGTGTGTCAGACTCCAGAGAGAGAATTGGGCAGTTTTTCTTCTCTCCCATCAGAGCCTTCTACCAGAGTGGTAACCAGCCCAAAGCTCCCATGCTTCAGCCGTCAGCCACCAGCCAGGGGAGCTGAGAGGGAGACCTCCAGGCTCCTGAGCAG